GTTTAACTTTTAACAAAGTCAAAAGAAAAATGTCACCAAAATAGCAAAAAGAGTTGTCATACTTACATGAATCACTACGACTTATATTAAAGATTAAGCTCCATGAAATAGGAGGATGAAAACTTTTAGGAATGAAACAAACTTCATAAGAAGCTTAATCAAAGTAATTGAATTCAACCATCCAATGAAAAAACCTTCAAATAATAGTGGCAGCAAATCCCTCTATAAAGTTTCCAGCAGCTCCAGCCTCAAAACCTAAGTGTTTTTCCGTGAATTTCATCACCCGATATGTGGGATTCCACAAGTGGGTTCCTTTCACCCATTGGGTCCCTAGTTTTCAGTCAGATTCTTGATTCCCATATCATGATTAGACCTAGGGTTTATAGAATTTCAACAAAATTTCATGAACTTATTAGTTATATGTTCCAAATCAGATTATGAATGTTATTATTCCCTTTATTGCATGACTTTTTGAATCCTAATTATGTTTTTATTTAGTTCTTGAATTACACATGCTAGGTCAGATATTTCAGTTACTTCAGATATACATGTTCAGTTATAAATGCATAATTACCAGATTAATTATTGCATTCTCAGTTTGCATGTTCAGTTTTGAGCTATCCAGTATTTACAGAAACACAGTCATAATTTATTAGTTACATAATTCATGGGATTAGCATAATACTGAGTTGGACTAGGGTTTAGCGTACCCAAATTAGTTCCAGAACTACTAGCCAAGTAGGTTGTAAGTCCCCTATGTGGGAAATTAATTTATTTATCACGCCAGCATGTCTTTATACCTTTGGCAGGGTATATTGGGTCCTCTAGATGGGGCGTATACATCGAACTTCACATTTAGCTCATGTGGTTTTATTGTCGGTTATTAGTAGCTCCCACAGTTCAGTCAGACTCTCTTGTATTGACCATTTATCAGTATACTCAGTATTCAGTTTCAGCATGTTATAAATTGGTCATTGCATTTAGTAAGCTCTGAATTCTCTATATCATGTCCACATTACTATACTTGCTTTTATGCTTGTTTAGTTATGTTTTATTTCAGCTTTATTCTATCCTACATGCTCAGCACCTTTCAAGTACTGACGCATACATGCGCTACATCTTCTCGTGATGTAGGTTAAAGTTTTCAGCATCCAGATCACACATAGATTGATTTCCGATCTTCAGTTCAGAAAATTTAGTGGTGAGTCCTCATTCTCCGAGGACAATAGTCATGATTTTCTTTTCAGTATTTTGTCTTTTAGTTTCTGTGTTTTCTAGATTTAGGTGGGGCTTGTCCCAGTATTTCTAGTCCAGTTTAGAGGCTATTTTCAGACATAGCTAGTTTCAGCTTGGTGTTGAGTTAGTAACTTCATTGTATTAAACTCATCAGTCTTCATATTATATCAGTTTTAGCATATAGGTATTCCCCATCTTTTCATTATAAAATATGATTTAGCTTCTGCATTAGATTATTATCTTTAGTATGCTCATGATCATGTCAGCAGGGTTAGCTTGGGATCACTTGTGATCCTAGGTTCCGTGTCCGCGTCTCAGGGGTAGCTTGGGGCGTGTCATTACACAAGGAGGACTTGTTAGGATGTTTTAGAATTGTTTCCTTATGGTATGATAAGATATGAATAGATGAATTTTGTGATGTTTATTTCATGTACTTTTACAATTCCTCAATCATGATTATGGAGTGAGGTAAGCTTGAAGGCTATGGTAATAAATATGTGGCTTCAAGGAATGCTTAGTAAGGTTGGTATTATGGGATGCTAACCATATATTGCACAAGTGTGCTTAGAGGTTGTTAATGTATTTATAATATTATGTTATGGGTGTATTGTGACTATAGCTTTTCTTTTATGTTTGCATGCTTACTAGCTTCCCAAACTTGATAAATGTATACTTTAACTAAAAATGTCCTACTTAGCATGTTTAAATGTTATACGGAATGTTTACATACTTAGTACATATTTGTGCTAACCCCTCCTTTTCTACATCCTATGAGTGTAGGTTCCGGACATTCAATCCTTGCTTCCTTCTTCAAAGTAAAGCTTGGGTCGACTATTTTGTAAGTTCTAGTGAGTCCTCCACTTCGAAGACTAGACTGTTATTTCAGTTCAAGTTTTAGACATGCTTCATTTTCCCATGTCTTCCATCGATGTAAAAGGGTTGAGTCCCTAATTTCGTACTCTTAAGTTTAGATGGTTTTATTGAGACAAGTATCGTAATTCACAATTCTTTCATGATGATATTTCAAGTATGACTTTTGTTTGAAAATTTCTAATATTCCGTATTATTTCTTATGACATTATGTGTATGATTATGTTAAGGGCTTGTATGAGACCCCTTCGGGGTCAACTACGTCATGTTACGTCTAGGGGGTAATCCTCGGTCTTGCCAATAAGGTTGAGATTAGTTTTCTCTTGATGATTCAATAGCCTTAAGGTGGTAGATTTGAGATATACTTGATGGATCAGCTACGTGAGTGTGAAGGTGTGGTCTCCTTTTATGATTAAATTGGGTTGTCTTTCTAGAGCACTCATAAGACCCAAGGTGTGTGTGTGAATGACCATTAAAGCACTTTGTTGTATCGCGGAGTTTGCATAGAAATCAAGGATATGGTATGTGTTGTGGGGGTCTCCACTTATGTCCATTTAGTTCAAAAGTATTTCACTTTGTGCATATGTGTTGTTGCACCATTTCACTATGTGTCAATTTAAATCGAAAGATATTGACACTTAAGTACTGTTCCTTTCTTTTGCCGAGAAATTTTTCTTATTCTTTATATGTGCATTAGTGGGGGATTCTGGATAATATTCATTTTCGTTTAATTCAAAGGATAAGTTACATCTTTTAACTCTCCGTAATTAATCTATGTGAACATTGATAAGTCGTTAGTATTTGTGAAATAGGAAAGTTACTTCCTTATTAATGGTTCATATTTATCTCTAGTGTCATTTTCTGAACTTCGTAAGAAAATATTCAGAATAATTAAAGTTACTTTTGTATTATGACAAATTTATTATTAGTGTAAGAGTTATATTTCATACATTTATTATAGGTTAGTTTCTTACATTCTTGTGATGGATGAAATGTAAATGATTTTCCTATATATGGAGTATCATTTGGGAGCGAAACACATAACAGAAAAATCAAGTCCTTTCTTTCATATACTATCTCCCTCAACATTTTCTTTTATAAACTTGAATAATCCTTCTTCCAATTGTGGATTTCTGGGCAACTGTTTTTGTGCAATTCCGAATATTTAGTCATGAGTGCACGTGTTTGAAATTAACTGAGGAATCTTGGGGAGCGACCGGCTACAACGATTTGTACCGAAGTTGAGCCAAAATCACTTTCAAAACAATGGCTTGCCATGACACAAAGTTTGTGATAAGTTTTTATTACCTTATAATTCAAATCTAATATCAATTTTGTAGTATTTTTTCCAACATCATCTAATATGATAAATAATTTGATACTTCGACCAATGACCTAGCATTGGAAATTTTCTTAGAGCCATACTTGACCACACACATAGTTCCTCAACAATAAGGATAGGAGAAATTTTAAGAATTTGCTGATCTAATGAATGAAGAGGTTTCATAGACCACCATCTAGAAAAAAAAAACACAATAAATCCAGGACCATAAGGAATGCATAAAGGATCACCAAAAAATTTTATATGCTACTAGCTTATTCGCTGGTACAAAAGGAATGATGGCTTGTCTCATCTACAGGGATTTGACAACAATGACATGTAGAGGAGAAGTCTTCCAAATTTATCCAAGCTGACCATTTAGAATAATATCTAACTGGACAGAGTGGATTACTGTCATCAAAAGTAATAATATATGCAATAGACCTCATACCAGTCCAATTGTCCCACCATAAGCTCAATGAATTCCCTGCCTAGGGGGTTGGTTTGTCCATGTGATTTAGTAAGATTATTCTCAAACTGATGTATCGCATCATCATATCTTTGTTGGTCACCGTGTCATGATTTTTAATTTTATATATTGTCAATTTCCTTCTCTTGTCATTGATAGTGGCATGAAAGTATTTGCTATCTTAATCCCCCTTATCCAATCCATCCAATGTTAGATTTTTGTCTAAGTATGGATTGATCATATTTCAACCACATGGTATATTGAGCATGCACATGGTGCATTTCCGATTTAGAATCATCCCTATCATTATCACTAAATTCATTTTCAAGATGTTGTAGTTCTTCTTCCAATTATTTCACCTTGTCATGTACATTACCAATAGTAGTTTTAGACCACTGATTGAGAGTTTTGCTAAGCAGTTTAAGTTTCCACATACTATAACCCTGGATACCAACATTCAGAGCGTCTTGAACCACATGTTTGAAGTCAGGATGTTCAATCAAAACATTTAAAAATCTAAAGTATTTAATACTTGTGAATTCAAGTTTAGAACATTTGACTAGCATAGGTATTCTACACTATTTCTCGAAAAGTTGACAGTCGACCAATGATTAATGAAAACTCTATCATGTCTCTTCCAGATTCTATTATGTTTTTCCCTAGCATTACACCAGGTAAATCTAGGACTAGTAAAATTGAAATCTACCATGCCACAATCATCCATACAATCTATGAAGTCCCAAGTTTTCCGCATTCTATGAGGAATTCGACCTTTCTTTTCTCCGGCACTCATAATAAAATTAAAATCTCCATTAATACACTAAGTAAGCTAAAATCATGATATAAATGAGATTTGGTTACAAAAAAAGAATATTGGATTTGTGTTTGTATACCACTAGTTTCATTACACATACAAACCCAACACAACCTCATATTAAAGTCCCATCGTTACAAAATCGCCTTTTCTAGAGCACTTTGCCTTATAATGTTAGCCTTTCTTATGTATTTTCATAATTAGTCACGAGTCAAGGTGGGATTACCAAAAAAACTAACAAAACATAGGTTTGAAAGAGATAATAAATAATCACACCATGTTCTCTTAAATTTCTCAAACGAACCAAATGTAATTTAGATAACAAACTAATCAAACTCCAATCTTTATACCACTCAAAGCACACAGGGCGTTCTTAGGAAATACCTTAATAAAGACAACATAGTTGTGTTCGTTACAAATCCAAGCAGAAAAAATGTTCACAACCTATCACGAGAGGAACATCTTAGGAACAATAAGTCTACTTGATCTTCTCACATGTATATAAAAATGTAGCACCAAAAACTACGGGTCCCTATCGCGCAAGCAGCTAGATTTTCCAGTGATAATCGACCAAATAGGTCTTAGCAAACAATCCCATTTTCTCCACAAATGTTTATGTCAATGTGCTTCCGTTGACAATTTTTGTAGTTGCTACAATAATGTCATATTCCATCACTTCCTGTAATAGTATAACAGTGTAATTTATCTTTTGAGTTCCTTTTCTATAGTGTGTTTCCAACGAGAGCTGGGAATTTACATGATTAAGTCTTAGTAGACTGACATGGGCGCTTAGGAAGTGAAGAGCTGAGATCTCTGCAGATGTCTCCACCAATGAAAACGACAAGAACCAAAGAACGCCTTCCATCAACAACTCTGGATATCATCGATGGTATTAGAAAGGTTTTGAACTTCCAAGTTCCAAGAGATGATAAAAGAAATTTTAAGCTTTATGCTTTGCATAAATTAGCATCATGACAAATATAAGGTCCAGCAACTTTTCAAATGCGAAGAGCAAAGACAGAATAGAATAATAAGGTGCAACAAAACAATAACAACTTAAAGAAGACATAAGGGTTAGGGAGAACTAGTAGTTTCTACAGCATAATGATGTACAACAGCCATCCCTTGCCACTGGGTGTCCCTCTAACCTAATTTCTTCTTTAGGTCTGATCACACAACCCAAGTCCACCATCATTTACCTCCCTTCAATCTCAACCAATTAGAAAAATCATTCAAACAATCATCTTATCAATATCATATTAAGTTCACAACCAAACAGACATTTCTCCATTTAGTAGCTTTTCTAATTTAAGTACCGATGGAAATGCATATAAAAACTAACATTTACTTTCTTTTGACTGTTCTATAGGAAGAATTGTTACAAAGCCAGTTAGCGGATGTTCCTTTGGTACATACTTGTCTGAGTTATGCAAAGACCCGTTTAATGAGTCCAGCAACGGACTACTGGAAAATCCACTCTGAAGCAAAAGTAAGAGATTAACATAAGATGATAAACAAAAATGGAAGAATCCACGTGAAGAACAAAATATTAACAGAAAGCTTAAAGTTCACCCTCTTAATATCTGAGTGTAGACCTGGCAGCAACTTCAACCTTTCTTCAATAGGTTCGTCATAGAAGATATCGTTGGGACTGTATTTGTCAGAGAACAAAGTAGATGTTAAAAATGATTACACATGTGAGGTAATGATAATAATGACAGCTATGCAAGAACTTCTTTAAAATCCATGGCCATATTCTTCAAGTTTCAAGAGAGGAAAGAGAGAAAATCCTTTATCAAGCTCAAAATAATATCATACTTAGCAGTACCTCCACTACAAGCCACAGAGCACGCTTAATCGTTATCCAGTTGCTTTTGGTCTCCTGCAATTGTGAACAAAGTTAATAGTGAGAATAGTGCAGACAAATTTTACTGATTTTATATTGCAAAATCTTTGATGAAATCCCATGAATGAACTTTTCCGGCAATGAGTAACTTTTTGACAAAATCCTTCAATTCGGAGACTATTTGGTTCTGCATATAATATAAAATGTAACACATAAGTCAATTATTGAACTTGAAAGCTAAGACATGCACATATATGACTATTGACTAACCATGGTCTGCATTTTTGTGTAATCTTGCTTCACAGAAGTTGTTTTTTGACGTAGAACCTATAATCACACTGCAAATGACAATTAAAGAACCAGAAGACTAAGGAAACAAGATGAGCAACTGAATCTTATGATAGGACATGAAAGATCGATATGTATGCCGAAGTCACCTAGACTTTGTTATTAAAAAATTAGAGAGAAGATAAATCAACCTGGACGACAACTTCAAAATTTTGATCCCGTATCTCTTTGAACAATTTTTTTATGACAGTCTCTTTGATCAATTTTTGACTACAAAGGCAAAGAATTAAAAAGTTCAGAACAGAGAAATAAAATATCTTAGATGCGGGGAGAAGGTTAAAATAAGAACACTCTCTTTGTTTTAGAAAGAGAAAAGACAGTAATATATTTCTCCAGAGGAATATGGATGTGTGAGAAAATGAACTTCATCAAGTAATGTTCGGCTCAAATTAGATGCTGCAAATCAGCCCAACACTCCTGTTAATAGTGTGAAAAACACCTAATAGAAAAAAAAATTCCTTCGTACAAAACACACCCTTAATAGAAATATTGTCCAAGTTGAATATGGGCCTTTTCATATGTTGGGCTTTCAAATGGGCTCTATATTAATACCCAATTAGATTTACGTTTTACTTTTTCTACCCCACATTATTATACTATAACAACAAAAAAACCTAACTCTAAAAATCCCTCCTCAATTCGAATTGCAAGTTGCAACTCGCCTGTATACCTGAGATATAGAGGACCAAAATCTTATTGGTAATTGAATTCCTATATATATATATATATATATATATATATATATATATATATATATATATATATATATGGTTTTTCCCTTATTGTTTATTAAAATATTTTTAAACCTAATTAATTGAATATTAGGTAATAATATTTCAATTATTATTTAGATTATGAGTTAATTTATCAACATGAAAATTAAATAATTATAAATTATATTGTATAATGAATTAGCCAAAAAAATAATACAAATTAAATGCAAGTGCATATATGGTGAAGAACCAATCACAAATTAATTGCAAGTGCATGTATGGTTAAGAATCTAAGAGTTATTTGTATGAATTTAAATTTTTTTCAACATAGACATTTAAGTTTCTGTATGACATTATATATTTATTACCTTACAAATACACTTGTGTGCTTTATGAGAAGGCATTTTTTCTGTAAACTTTGTCATGAAGTAATCTTAATTTTTTTTATTTTGCTTGTTTTATTAAGATAATGAACGATGGTTTTGCCGATGAAATGAATTAATTTTCATCCGCTTCATTATCATGTTTTAAGGAATAATGAAAAACAAGAGATTTTTTTTTAAAAAAAAATAGTCATCTTTCATTATTGTATCTCTTGATTTTTTAATATTAATATTACTTCTCTTTTGCTTCTTGTATCATTTGATATCTGTTGCTATTTTCAAGGTTTAAGTGATATTGAATGTACTGTTTATAAATTCTATTACATATATATATATATATATATATATATATATATATATATATATATATATATGTATGTATGTATATTTTATATTTGGTCTATTTATTTTGCTTTTTAGATTTAATTTTTTGTTGTTTGTTTTATCCTTTTCACCTCAAGTCCCCAATATTTATTGCATGGAATACTACTACATCCGTCATATGACTATTATTAGAGTTCAAAAGCTAGAAAACTCTAATGTTATTTTTTCTTTTTGATGGTTACTTACTTTATGGTGACTAGGAGAACAAAAGATGCACACTATATATATTTTTACATTGTATCATTTTATTCTGATATTATTCTATAACTTCGAAAGGAATTTCTCCTGCATCATGAATTACCTTTAATGTACCATATTTTATGTTATTCTTTAGAAATACAATAATAACGTAAATTTATGAATTAATGTGATTGCATGTTTGGAGCACAAGCTTTAAATGAAAAAAGTATATTCAAGGTTTTAATATGTATCTATCAGCTAGCTATACTATTAGATAAATAGAATATCTTAAACTAAAGTAATTAAAAACTAAATAAATCCTATCAAATTGAATGGTCACATAAAGTTTAAAAATGTATTTTTACTCTTCAATCGAATTCCTTCTTTTGGTATTTTTGTGGTAGTTTACCCTCCCCCCCCCCCTCCTGGTGATGTTGATAGTTAAGTTGTTGTTTCGTTACGTTATTTAGTTTTAATTCGGGTTACACTTGAATGTGTAATTGCGTGAAATACTATAAATAATTTTTATTATATATGACATGATATATTGTAGATGAACTTGTATTTTAGAGGATTAATTCATTGTTTGAAGTTCTTTGTCTAATTTGATGTGGCATCGCATGAAGCGTGTTGATCTTAACAGCTTGTGATGTTACATTGATATTATATATACATTTTAACTAATTATTTCTATTAAATTTGGTTATGAAAGGACTCTACAATTTAATTAAGGCAAAAGGTAACATATCTCTTTCAAAAGTTCATATAACTCATCACATATCAATTCTAATATTATTTTAATAAATTATTATTACTTAGCCTGGAATAGACGTGCAACGCACGTGCTCGAAAACTAGTCATATATTATTATAAGTGGGAATATATTAAATTCAAAGTTAAATCACGAAAATGTCCTTCACCAATTTTTAAAAATTTAAATTTTTTTTACTAATTTTTAAAATTAAATCAATAATGACAATTAAACTAGACCAAATACATGATTAGATGTTACAATTTATTATTTTTTATTTCTTAATAAATTTGATTTTTAAAACTTTTTAGCTTCTACCATTAAACACATTCATGCACAAACCTTTCATATACTTAATTTCTCCCTTTAGAAAATGGATAAAAAATATTATTTCACTACACTTTGTGTTTCATCATCTAATAGTTCTTCTGTAAGGAGTATTTTTTTATTAGTCATTATTTTTCTTATAGATTTGTGTCTTCATTCATTTTTGGGATAATGTTCAAGTACCCCCTCAATCTATGCCCAACATCTCAGAGACACACTTATACTATACTAAGGTCCTATTACCCCCCTGAACTTATTTCATTAATAATTTTTTACCCCTTTTTAGCTTACGTGGCACTATCTTGTGGGCCCAACGATGATTGACTTTTTTTTCGAACTAGTGCCACGTAGGCTAAAAAGGGGTAGAAAATTATATATTAAATAAGTTCAGGGGGGTAATAGGACCTTAGTATAGTATAAGTGTGTCTCTGGGATTTCGGGCATAGGTTGAGGGGGTACTTGAATATTTTCCCTTCATTTTTTATTTTCATGGTTATTGGAGAAACACATAATCTAATAGTTCTTGTAATATTTTTTTATTGGTCACTGTTTTAATTATTGGCTTGGGTTCTTCATTTATTTTTTTATTTTTAATGATTGTTGGAGTATTTATGTACCAAGAAATTTCAGCCTTGAGGCTTAGTTCTAGCCTTACAAGTTGCTCATCATTCACAAAAAAATTTATTTATATTTAAATTCTAAACAAAAAGTAAGCACTAAAAAATTTTATTCTATCTGCACAAAAAAACATATAAGAGTACGTCAGACAATATTAAGCAATTTTATATCTTGGGCCTATATAAATTATAACAGTAACAGAGGTCAACCGTGCAAGACACCTTTCTACAACTAGTATATTTAAAAGCATCAACTCCTAACTTAAAAGTTAAATTATTAAATTACCTGTAATTACACTATTGTATCTCTCGCTAAATATTCCCATTCCCAAACCCCACCACTTCCCCCAATTACGCTTTGAACATACCTCTTAATCCACTGCATACACCTCTTCAGAAGCGACACCACTTCTTCATCCTTGGTTATGAAAAAAAAACTCACACACCCCTTTGTCCGCAGCTTACGTCCCTTAAGAAACGACAACACATGTCCCTCCTTCACAATGAAAAAACACCTCTGTCCATTAAAGTCAAACAGTTCCACCCCCTCACTTCACCATAATTATAAATACCAAATTGCGACTGCTTGTCCCCCAATCAAACACACAACAAATCTAATTGACACCCAGATATGCAATGCCACACCGTCTCTTTCACATATTGTCTTGCTGCTTGTTTCTTTCACGAGTTCTATTGTTTTCCCTGCATGCAGAAAAATCACAAACAGTAAATTTTGTGCATTTTCTCAACCATAGATCAATTTGTAAGTTATTCCCTTTTGATTGTCAATCTCTTATTTCTTAAATCCTTCATTCGGAAAGAGCAAAATACGAAACACATTTCATATGGAATTGTTCCCTTTGTCACTTCCCCTTGCCGCAACAAAAACATTGATTGTAATTTTTTTGCACGCCTTTATGTTAGGATCGAATACAGACACACACTTGATGAATGAAGAACTCAAGAACTTTCAAGAGAAAGAGATGAGAGATCTAGATAGAGAAAGAGAAAACACAATATTTCGTGGTAACAGCCCGTGAGTAAACTTCCACGGCGGTGAGGTATATTTATATTAATAAATCAGAGTATTTTTGGTTACAAAGGATAAACAGTTATACATATTAATCAGGCTCCACAACCTAACAATTCTCCCACTTGGAGACTGACTCAGTCATCCAAAAATATACATTCTTAACAAAAACTCTTCATGATCAACATCTTTACCGCACCGCAACATCTGTAGCAACAACTACAGAAGACCAAACGAGGTTGTGCATAACCCCAGTTTCCCAACATCAACACATTTCGTCAACATGTCTGCCGGGTTCTTTGCACCCTCTATCTTTTCCAAGCACATATCACCATCCTCCACTGCCCTGCAAGTGAAATGATATCTCCTTCTGATGTCTTTGTCTTCGAATGATAGACTAGATTTTTAACCAACTGTATGACACTTTGGCTATCTGAGTAAAGAATCTTCTCGATCTGCTTCTTGCCCAATTCCTCAAGATAATGTGCCAGCCATATCATCTCTTTCCTACCTTCAGCTATTGCCACATACTTAGCTTCAGTAGATGAAAGAGAAATACACTTCTGAAGCCTGGACATCCAACTCACTGCTGTTCCACCTATGGTGTAAATTTACCCGGATGTACTCTTGCTCGAGTCAACATCCCAACAAAAATCAGTATCCACAAAACTTTGTAGAATCACATTGCCTTTGCCAAAACAAAGTGAAGTACTGGATGTACCTCTCAGATATCTCAAAAGCCACTTCACAACTTCCCAATGCTCTTTAATAGGGTTCGCCATGTACCTGCTAAGAACTCCCACTGCATGTGCTATATCAGGTCTAGTGCAGACCATAACATACATCGAACTACAAACTGCTGAAGCATATAGAACAAGTGCCATGTGATCACGCTCCTCGGCAGTCTTGGGGGACTACTCCTTTGACAATTT